TACTCACAGAACTTCCAAATGAAGAGGAAATCATCAAACCAATTTCAAGGAAAAACATGGAATAAATAAATAAAAATAAACCTAACTGTAACCCTAAAAACTAGACAAGCCTTATTCTTAGCTCTAAACCAACCCTTACTCTTAATACTAATCCTCATCCTAACCATAAACTAATGATAAATGAAGTTCTAAGACTAGCCTAGACTTAGCCATACTTTCACCCCTAATCCTTACTCCTACCCACCCTCCCATGATGAAAAGGGGACTCTGTACCCATCCCTTCTTTCCTTGCCTGCAATTTCCAACGTGGGTAGGTACAGCTCAAGTCCCAAATAGTGATTGAGATTTAGCTGAATAGAAGATTAGAACTTCACTTTCATCTGCAGTTCTGGGAGAGAAAGACCTTCTAGAGAGTATTCAGTTTTACAATCTGAGAGTGGCAAAACAGAGATTGTTGAGGGGGCATTGAGCACAGAGAGTCACAGACTGCCCCAGTGAGTTACTCATGGCTCCAGATAAATGGGAAAGAACAGCTGAATGATTTTTGTTCTCTGAAAAGGGTCTAAAAGAGAGACAAGTGTCATGGTCAAGATGAGAGGTGATCACAGTAGATGGACTATGGGCTTGGGGACAGGATTCCAAATTCAAATGCAGGCATTTTAGCAGAATGAGTCATGCTGACACTGGACTGCTCAGGACACTCCATCACTGTGAATGTGGATGTGAAAATTGATCAGACTTTATGGTACAAATTTGGGAGCAGTCAGTGCAGATCCTCAATGAGGATCCTCAATGAGATCACCTAGAGAATGAGTCTACATAGAGATGAGAAGCAGATCAAAACTGAATCCTGAGGTACTCTGGTATTTAGCATGTGGAAAGATGAGAAGAAATAGGTACTAGAGACTGAGAGCGAAGGGCAGTTAGATGGAAGGGGGAGCACAGAGGAAGAGCATTTCCTTGGTCTGGCCACTAGATTTGGGAAGACACAGCATGGTGGTCATGGATGACCTTCTTAGAGGAATTCCATAAAGGTTATTGCTTTTTCCATGTGTGTCATAGTAGAACTGCTACAAAGGATTTCCAATGGCTGAGGTTTTGGAGTGGGTCTGACCACTTTCTAGAAGAGGACATGAGAATAGAGAGGGGAAACAGTTTGCCAAAGGTCAGCCATCCAGCGTAGTTGATTGTTGTTGTTAAGTGCCGTCACATTGGTTCTGATTCATAGCAACCCTGTATAGGGTTTCTAAGGAGCTGCTAATGAATTTGAACCACCGACCTTGTAGTTCAAACCAACCTTGTGGTCCAGTGCTTATCTTACAGCACTACACCAGGACTGATTGGCAGTAGGGTGGGGTGGATAAGGGAATGGACAATGGGAGAGCACCCTGTCATCAATCATACAGCCAAAAATTATTTTTATAAACTGATATGAGATGTCTTCTGTCAATGAGCCAGTAGACATGGAACCCTTGTTGGCAAAGGTTGATGTGTGAGGTATGCAATCCTTTCTGCAAGGGAATTCCTAACACCTTAATGAATAGAGGGAGTCCACGGGTAGTACAAATGGTTGACATGCTTGGCTGCTAACTCAAAAGGTTTGAGGTCACCCAGAGGCACTTCAGAAGAAAGACCTGGTGATCTGCTTCTTAAAAAATCAGCCATCAAAAACTCTAGGGAACACAGTTTTCTTCTCTGCTGTATATGGGATCAACATATGGAGTGGACAACTGGTTTACTGGTAATCAGAGTAACGCTACCAGTTCTCCTCAGAGGAAGCTTCAACTTTAGACATAATTTCCAAGGTTTCATTATCAGAATCCTTATTCAAAAGCTTCTCTGATAGCTCCATTATTTTCTCACTTAGTGTCTTACAAGGCCATTGTCTCAACTCCCTTTGTCTTCAAAATCTCAAATATAGGTGAAGTACAGTATTTGTTGTTGTTGTTGTTAAGTGCCATCGAGTCGGGTCCGACCCATAGCGACCCTGTACAGGGTTTCCGAGGGTGTAAATCTTTACGGGAGTAGAAAGCCTCATCTTTCTCCCGCGGAGCAGCTGGTAGTTTCGAACCGCTGTCCTTAAGGTTCGCAGCCCGATTCGTAACCACTACGCTACCAGAAGTACAGTATTATCAGCCCTAAATTCCTTCAGCTATACAAGTACTCTTCAGGTATACAAAGGCAAATTTAAGTTCCAAGTGCCCCTTGGGAAACCTTCCCTTTTTTTCTTGAGCTATTTTTGTGAGGTTTTAAATTTCCTATTTTCTAATCCCTGTTGAACCAGCAAACCTTTGCTTTTGTTCAAGGATAATAGAAGAGGGATGGCGACGAGTGGCCTTGAGGGAGTTTTCCTCTAATTGCCATAGCAACACTTAGATATTTAATGCTGCTCTCTGTGTACATATTGGTCCACTGAATACAAAGGCGTGTAAGACAGCTTACAGGAAGGAGGCTGCAAGAAGACAAAAGAGGTGGGCTCAGTGGGTAGTTGGCTGGGAAGGGTGGCAGCAGCGTATCAGTAAGCAGAACATAGTAGTAGGATTCTGGACAATACTTTGGGAACAGAAAGTTCTCTAGTGATCAGTGATAAGCATGCAAGGAAAGTGTGTGACCACTGGGGAGCAAACTTTTGCTCTGGCTGTCTACATGGGAAGGCAGCTAGTTTTCATGAACATGTTAATATGACAGTTTATAAAGAGGCCAAGAGCACATGAAGCACAAGAATGGGCAGGATCATCAGCTTTGATACTGCAGGTTTATCCAGCAGCACCATACACTGGAGTTGTCCTGAGCTTGGTTAAATGGAGCAGAGGAGATGAGAGGTAAAATTCACTTATTTGAATACCAGAAAACTGTTATCTCCATCTTAATTGGTCCAACTGTGAATATTAAATCTATAGAATTGTTCAGTGAAAGTCATGGATGAAGCAAACCAAAGTACTGTATCTAGCCTTGGCATAAAGAAGCACTCAAAAATGGGCTGCTATAAAGTACCAGGGATAGTGATGGCTGACTGATAAAAATATTTCACCCGCCGTGTGGGTCGTACAGATTTTGATTCTATGCCATTGTATTTCATGTGCACCCACCACAGTCAGGGAAGACTGTGCATTGCTATGATTTCAAAGGTTTCAGTGGAGCTTCCAGACTAAGACAGACTACGAAGAAAGATCTGGTGGTCTGCTTCCCAAAATCAGCCAATGAGAACATTATGGATTTCAGTGGTCTGATCCACAACCAATCATGGGATGGTGCAGAACTGTCCGGCATTTTGTTTTGTTGTACAAGGGTCGCACCATGAGTTGGGGGGTCAACTCCTTGTCAAGTAACAACATGAAGTACAATAGAAAAACCCTATGGGCTTCAGGCTTTTCCTTATAAAAAGTTTTAAAATAACAATAACCTCTTGTGATGCAAGGTGTTATAAATCTTATCTGTAAAGGAAACCAAAGTAGCAATACTTGGCTGACAGAGACAGACTTTTGAGACGGTAAAAGCCAAGAGAAGACTGTGAGTAGTCAGGCAAACCACATGCGTGTGTTATACCTTCAGCCACAAAGTAATGGCCTTAACTTGACTGTAATAAATGAACTTTTTTTTTTTAATTGATGTTCCTTAAAAATATAACTTTTCAAAATAACTGAGTTGATTCCCGTTTTCCTTTTGCAAAAGCCACTTATGAAAGTGAGCCTAGCTTCAGGAAATTGCTTTATGAAATTAAAGAGCACAGAGTCAAGATGCCTTAACTTTGACCACAACGGGGGCAACAGGAAGTCAGGAGGGCCCCAGGAGGAAGGAACAACCAGCTGCCATTTGAGTCCATCATGCCTGTTAAAAAAAAAAAAAAAAAAAGATAAAAAGATTCAAGAATCAGAGAGACTCAGCTACGTCCAGCAGCCAGCCGACCAAAGTCTTCTCCTTCCTCAGGGGGCCATCTGGCACGTGCCGCACTCAAGAGAAGACTCCAGGTGGAGGACCTCCGCCACTGCTATTGTGCTGCTTTGCCAGTTGCCGGCCACTCTGTTTTTCTCTCAGTTTAGAGCCCTTTGGGGTAGCAGCTGTTGTTGTTAAGTGCTGTGGAGTCGGTTCCAACTCACAGCGACCCTGTACAGGCTTCCGAGGCTATAAATCTTTACAGGAGCAGATCGCCTCATCTTTCGCCCAAGGAGCAGCTGGTAGTTTTGAACTGCTGACCTTGCGGCTCGCAGCTCTATTCGTAACCACTCGGCTATCAGAGCTGGGGTAGCAGCAGTAACATATAAAAGAGAAAGTAGTTAGAATTGCCTGTGGCTGTTGCTGGTCCTTACTTGCGTCCTTCTAAGGTTTACTCAGAGAACCAAGGTTAAAGTCTCAGTGGATCAAACTTCCTGCTCTGTTTGTGCCACTTTGCCCTGCTCTCTGAAATACAGTCCAACCTCTTTGGAGAAAATGGACAAGAGAAGTGGAGTCCAGCAGGCAGCAAAGTGGATCATGAACCATCCTTCCTTTCCCCTGTTTCAATCATCCCAAAGATCAATTCTACTCCCCTCTTCTCTCCTTCCCTTTCTCTAGTATGAGGCCATTGAAACAAAACATTTTGGTAAATTCATATGATTGCTGATGTTTCAGAAGGGAGGAGGAAAAATTCCATCTAATTAGCATCAAAGGAAAAAGGAAGCACATGTTAATTTGAGCATCACCTTTTGGTACAGGCATTGATTGTGTGTATTCTTAAATAGCGAAGGAAACGTGGATGCTAAGGAAGGAAAACACCTCAAAGACAGCAGCCAATAGCTAATCCCTATTTTACACATTGAGAAAAGATACGATTTCTCAGCAACTACAGAACAAGTGAGGACATCTGATTCCTGCTTTATTCAGCTACCAGTAATCTCTCTTGCATCATTCACTTTTGTTAGATTGACTAATAGCCCAGCATGCCATTGCTTGAGTCCAGCAGATATAAGTACTTTCCTGTGTTCTGACTTCCTGGATAAGGTCAAAGACAGGAGCAAGCTGGCATGGGGCACGCAGGGCGCCAGTTCCAAGCTCTGCTCTGGAAGAATTGGCTCTGCCGCCTGCGGCACCCGGTGAGTGACTCTGTAGGGACATGTCTGGAGAGAGAAAGGGTTCTAATCTGCCTGCCTCTGATTCCTCTTGGCAGGTACAAAGGTCTGCCCACCCTGCAGGGAATTTGTAGAAGGGATGTTAGTGAGAATTTGCCCTAAGAGCAAAGCAGCTGAACTCTATGACCAGCACAAAATCTCAACTATAGAATTTTGTCAGAAAATGCTAGCTAACAAAACAGATTACTAAAATAAAAACATGGGTAATCTTTGAGCTTTAACATTTTGGACCTTTGTTGTAAAAACAAAACTGATATTTCTCTGGTTGAAGGGACAAGGCAGCAAGTGTATATAACACAAAATTTGTACATGCCATATCTATTCAGTATTATTCTTTGATGTCAAATTTTTAGTGGTGTGGTGCTGCAGGATAAGCACTTTGCCACAAGATTGGTTTAAACTGTAAGGTTGGTGCTTCAAACTCAGCAGCTGCTCCTTAAAAACTCTATGTAGGGTTCCTATGGGTTGGAACTGACTCGACAGCACTTAACACAATAGCCATACTAACATAACCAAGACTTTTCTAAGCTGACCAAGATTTATGCGAATGCTACATAAATATCATGTTAAGTATATTTTTCAACAAAGTACCAATCAATTGTTTACTATTCTGGTGAGCTATGTTTTATTCCTAATACAGCTGCATGAAAGTGAACTCTTATAAATGTGATTTTTATTAGAAGTAGATGTGCAGTACTGAGTCTGCATTATTTCTAATTTGATGGTTTATACTCACTATGGAGTTATAGTGACAAATGTTTCAATTTGAAGACATTTGACAATTGGCATTGAACTGCACTTTACTGAGTTCTCATATTCAGGATAGTGTTTCTTTCTTCCTCAAGATAAAAATTAACATTCATGAAATTTCTTTTTCTTTCTTTTAAGGACATGCTCAGGATCAGAACAATTTTAATTACAAATTTGTACAAAGTTTTTGAGGTCACTTATGTAATTGCTCTTAAAAAAAATAACATCTAATTTTTAATAGAAATAAAGAATTAACCAGTGAAACATAGTCTTTACAAACTGTTAATGCATTGCTGTATATGTAATTGCTTTTTGATTTTTGAATAGTGTATTTTACTGATATATAATTTTGTTTTGGGAAGTTAAGTCTATTTTCTCAAGAGAATATGTAATAGATGGAAGCTAATTTTCTAGGATCTGTTCTTTCTGGGTTTTTTTGTACATCAATTCATTTAAACCTCAAAACAGCTCCCTGAGGGAGGTCCCATAACTATCTATCCTTCATTAAGGGCACTTTAGCCTTAGGAACTCTAGTTTCACAGTACTTAAGTGTTCAGCTACTAACTGAAAATTTGGTGATTCTCTGCAGGAGAAAGAAGTGACAGTTTGCATCTATAAAGATTGTTGTTGTTAGGTGCCAAGTAGTGAGTACCAACTCATAGCGACTCTATGCACAACAGAACGAAACACTGCCCAATCCTGCACCACCCTTATAATCGCTGTAACATTTGAGCTTATTTGTTGTTGTTGTTGTTGTTAAGTGCCGTCGAGTCGGTTCCGACCCATAGCGACCCTGTACAGGGTTTCCGAGGGTGTAAATCTTTACGGGAGTAGAAAGCCTCATCTTTCTCCCGCGGAGCGGCTGGTAGTTTCGAACCGCTGACCTTTGAGCTTATTGCTGCTGCCATTTTGCCAATCCATCTCACTGAGGGGTCTTCCTTTTTTTCTGACCCTCCATTTTACCAAACATGAAATCCTTCTTCAGGGACTGGCCCCTCTGACAATATGTCCAAAGTATAAGAGATGAAGTCTGGCCATCCTGGCTTCCAGGGAGCATTCTGGCATTCTGTTCTTTCAACACAGACTGGTTGTTCATTTTGCAGTCCCTGGCACTTTTAATACTCTAAAAAATTTTGTATGATTATTAATGCTGATAAGACAAGCATCCTCGTCAGAAATCTCTTATTCATTTATTTATTTGATGACCACTTATTTTAAATTGTAAATCCTATATCTCATTCCTTATTTGTCTTTTTGTCTTTAATATTGATCACTTTCTAACATATTATAGGTATGTTTTGTTGTTGTTAAATGCTGTTGAGTTGGTTCTGACCCATAGCATTTTCAAGGAGTGGCTGGTGAGCTTGAACTGCCAACCTTGTGGTTCAAACAACTTTGCAGTCCAGCACATTAACCCACAGTGCCACACCAGGATGCCATTATATATATGTGGATTTGTTAATAGTATCCATGAGACCAGGCAATTTTTATTTTGTTCTCTAATATACTCCTAGAACAGTGTCTGGAATACAATTGGTGTTCAACAAATATTTGTTGAGCAAGTGAAGGAAAAAAACAAAATGTTTGTTACATCTGTGCTATATGTTACTGTTGTTAAGTGCCATTGAGTCAGTTCCAACTCATGTAACCCTGTATAGGGTTTCCTAGGATCGGATGGTAAGCTTGTATCACTGACCTTGTGGTTCAGACCGACATTGAAGCTGAGTGCTGATCTTACGACACACCAGGATTCCTCTTTGTGATATATAGAGGGCAAATGTGTGCCCTGTCTTCAAGTTTATTATATTTCAGGGACAGAGAAAGGCAGTGAAGTATAAAATTAAGTATTTATAAATCTGCTTCTGGGTTTTTATAGATGTGTCTACAGAAATGGGAAAGAGGGCTGTTGACTGCAGCCTTGTTTATGATTCTGTACATGTAACTTGGAGCTGGCTTGCCTGTGTTCACATCCCAGCTCTGTCACTTATTAGTGCATGAGAGCACAAATTTGTGTCGTGTACATCAGGAGGCCAAGCTCCATCTTGGCTCTTGGCACAAGTTTAGATGTCATTTGATTTCTTTGTTATTTTCCCAATGCTTGTTGCTGTTGTTGTTAAGTGCTGCGGAGTCAGTTCCAACTCACAGCAACCCTGTATAGGGTTTCTGAGGACCAGCTTGATGAGTTTGAACCGCTGACCTTGCGATCCAGTGCACCACAGTATCCCACTTGCTGACCATGAAACCAGCAATATAGCTGTACTTAGTGAAATCCAGGACAAGTCCATAGAAAAGCAGTTTGCCTTCAGGAAGAATGTAGTTGGAAGTAGATTTTGCAGACAGTTGCTCACACAGGATCTAGGGAACTTGAGTAGGCATTTATGGGAAATAGTCAATCGGAGTACTGGTGTGGCACTACAGGATAAACACTCTACTTCAAGGTCAGTTTGCATTGAAAAGTTGAAGGTTCAAACTCACCAGCTACTCAGAAACCCTATACAAGGTCGCTATGAGTTGGAATGGACTCGACAGCACTTAATAACAACAACAACACTAAGTCAATCGGATTCATGCTATCTGATTTAAGTTAAAGATTGGGGTCCAGGTATTGTCTTGTTGTATGATCATGAGTTATACCTCTAAGACCACTTAACCAGGTAACCAAAACCCTAGAATCAATCCTGTAAAAGTTTATACCTGCAATTATATTCTGACCCCAGGCAGTCCCACCTATGACAGTGATGAATTGACCTGACACTAATCATGAGCGTCTTTGTACTGTTTTATAGAGTGAACTCCATGATTGTGAGTCATTGGATTCCACTGGCCTCTGTACTGTGTGTGTGATGACAGTTTTCCTCATCCATAATTTTCTTTGTTTTGTGTTTGTCCTTTTTAAGACTTAATAAAAGTGTCTCTATATTCTAGTAAGGCACTGTACCACAGGGTCGGCAGTTCAAACCCACCAACTATTCCTTAGAAACCCTATACAGGGTCACTATGAGTTGATACCAACTTGATGGTACTTACCAACATTGATTACACATTGGGCTGCTAACCACCCACAAGGTCAGTAGTTCAAATCTGCCAGTCACTCTAAGGGAGAAAGAAGAGGCTTTCAGCAACCATAAAGATTTACAGTCTCAGAATCACCACATAAGGTCACCATGAGTCGGAACCAACTTGATGAAAGTGGGGTTGGTTTTGGTTTAGTATAGAACATGTTTGTATCTGGGATCTTCTCTGCCTAGCTCACTAGTTTACAAAATAAGCAAATTTCTTAACTGGTTTTTCTTGCATATTTAATCTTTACAATAAACTAAGATTACTTTAAGGTTAAATAAGTTAGTATATGAAATGTGCTCTTGAGAGTATTCTCTATACGGTGTTATTAGTTGCCGGAGAGTGAATTCTGACTCATGGCGACCTCTTTGTGGGTGGGAGCTATTTTTTTAACCTGATGATAGCACTGGAGCTAGATAGAAATGGATAGACCTACATGTGGTGCTGCAGGATAAGTGCTGGACCACAAGGTCAGCTTAAACTGTAAGGTCGGTGCTTCAAATTCTCCAGTAATTCTTCAGAAGCCCGGACAGGGTCATTATGAATCAGAAGAGACTCAGTGGTACTTAACAACAACACATTTATAGGAGACACGCTTGAGGATCTGGTGAGGCCAGGAGAGCTCAAAGATACTGTAGTTTCCTGACTTGCATAACTGAGTTAGAATAGAATCCCAGGGGTTTAGGATGTGAATATATTTGCAAATGTTAATGTTATTGCATTGGACATATTGAGGACAGGCCTCTCTGGGAGAACTGCTCTAAACTGTTTTTCATAGTTTCCTCCTACTCACCTGTGGTTGTTGTTGTTAAGTACTGTGGAGTTAGTTCTGACTCATAGTGACCCTGCACAGGTTTTCTGAGGCTGTAAATTTTTATGGGAACAGAAAACCTCATCTTTGTCCTGTGGAATGGCTGTAGTTTCAAACTGCTTAAATTCTTTTGTTTTTTACCACAGCATAATCTGTGGAATAACCCATCTGACTCTGTGATTGAAAGGCCTCAAATTAATTTTTATTTAACGAGTAAGAACCAGACACTCATTGTAAGATGGTTATACTATTGAAAGAAGTGTCTCTGTTTGTGTTACATTTATTTAAAAAAAAAAACCTTTGACTTATTGTATTTTATCATAGTTACTATTTCATTTCAAAA